CTCTTTTACCAACGAATTGTTGGATTAACCGTCTCCTTATAATGCCCCTGCAGCTGAAAGGGCGAGCATGTTTGGTGTGATGGGGATTTGAATCCACGACCCTCAGATTGCGAGTTGAGCGCCCTAACCACCTGGCCATGCTGGGCCCAGATAGATGTAATGGTTATGGTAAAAATATATAATTGTGGATTACTTAGACTTTTATGAATAGGAAAAAAAAAAAGGCTGAAATAGTTGTTTGAATCTAAATTGTTACACAGTAACTGGTATAGTAAGAATTATTATCTATTTAAATAGACATTCAGCATTAAAAATGGTACCAATGCAAATGGTCGATCTTTTAAAAAAAAATCCTAGTCTTATCAATTTACAAAATATGATTTTTTAAAATTACTTTTTAACTACATTTAATTATGAAACCATTTTTGTGCAAATTTGCCAATAGTTTTTCTTTTACTGACATTGTTTTCGACATTATAATGTACAATTAAAGCAATAACATATATATAACTACAGTTATAATAAATTTACAGCGTGGGACAGATTTTCTTTAGACAAAATTTTAGATGAAAAAAAAAAGGCTAGCAATGCCTTCATTTTGAGTTCGTGTTTTTACTGCCTCTGAAATTTTTAGTTTGATGAAGTATCTATTTAAATGTTGGAATATTTATAACTTTTTTATGGAAAAAATTACTAAAACAGAGATGAAATTTAATGTAACAAAAGGTGAAGAAAATTGTTTATCCATCACCAAATATACATGGAAAAAAATGCATGATAAGGCAAAAGCAGTGTGTTATTTTGTCATGGAGAAAATATCAAATTCATACCTCTGTTAAACTGACTATCTTTATGACGAGCCTGCTTTTCACACACTGGCCTGTTTGTTTTTCATAAGGCAGGTGTGTGATGTATAAATTGTGTGACAGTGAACTTGCATCATTCAGAAACTAGTTCTTAGAAATTGTGAAGACTCACGTGCACTGTTTTACAGCACTAACCTTGCATTTATACTCATGTACTTTTTATAAATTCATCTTTGGATTTGATTCCACTAACCTAATTATGACAAACAGAAACCAGATCACTGTTACGGAAAGCAAGTAAAAACTAAAGCTTTTCCTAGTACTATCAAAAAACCTAAAAATTTGCTCTTGCTTGATAATTTCTTTTTATTATGTCATTTAAAATACTAAATACTTTTGAAAGCTTGTTAGCTAGTATATCCTGTTCACTAGTTGATGGTGATGACTTGTGTTTCACCCTTTTAGGAGATGGAGACCCTGGACTTTTCCTCTTCAAGGGCGTCAGACTTGGGGTAGATTCTCTGGAAGTTGATTTGGATAATTTCTTGGGTGATAGTGTTTGTTGTTTTTCTTTCTGCCTGGAAGGTGTAACTTTTCCCTGAATGGCTTTGCCATGAGAACTTGACCTGGATGGACCACTTCTGGGTGACAATGTACCCTGCTGACCTTTCAATTTAACAGCTGGAATATCTTTTAGTTTTGTAGAGTCTTTTTTGAACTCATTACATGCGTGATCTGAAGATGAACCTGAGAGGAAATTATGTGGTGAGAAATTCATCTAATAATAAAAGAATATATATGTATATGGAAAAGAATCATAAAACCACTATAAATGGTGATGAATCTTATCTAAATAATACACATCATTACATGGTTACAAAAGGATAAACATTATATTCTAGTGCCCTTTCATGTCCGTTTTCTATTGCAAGTGTCATTATACTTAGAAATTCATTTTTACTTGTGGTCTTTGGTTACAATAAGGTGACCATTTTCTTCTTCAAATTGTTTCTCAACTTCTCCCACATTTTAGATACAAGTCCAGGATTTTTTTAGACCTGAAACTGTGTGTGTGTGTACATGACATCTTGACAATTTAACATTCAGGTTATCACACATGCCATCTGGTGTTGTTATAAATTATCGCAAGTATTCGATTTCTACATTAGCTCCAAGGCAGCAGATCCGTTTTGAGTGCTGACCATTATTACTTTGAAACACCCAATAATACGATTTTTTAAACAAGGATACTATGCAATCACATGTTAAATATTCCAAAGCTAAGAAATATAACTGCTTCAGACAACTATGAAATATAAGGATAAGTGGTAATTTTGGTGAGCATGTGCAAGTTTTAATATAAGAAAAAAAAAGGATTTCCCAATCTTTTGACTTCCTTTACTAAATCCTTGAATTTCCCAGGTTTGTTGCCTACCAATAAATAGTCAGAATAAGAGTTAAATATATTCATACACCGAAACTGATCAAAATCAGTAAACAACAAATTTGTTCTTAACTTTTCATTTTTCTAAATATCATACAAGAAGTGTCAGATTCAACAAGGTCACCAGATGTTATCAAATCTGTGCAACACGATTCGCGTACTTTCCAGGAAGGAATTATTGGTTATCCAGGACCGATTAACATCAGATACTTAAAAAATAAAGCTTACTGCACTGGCTTAATATTTATCAAGTGGAAACATTACAATAAGTTATTGTATTGTTATTAAAAATACTATAACTAATGGGCTTCCTACAAAAACCACTGAGCAATAAAACTAAATAATAAATAATCGTAGATAATTTCGTTGATTGATATAAACAATGTAACTATCATGCAACTTAAAATGGAGTTCTGGACTGTACAAGTCCATACTCATGTGCTAAAGCAGGTGAAAACTGCTTAACTGTACACTGAAAATGACACATTTTCCACTCGTCAGTTGTATCAAACAACCAAATGTCAGACTTACTTAAATTAAGTCATCTCTCATAAGTAGTTGAAATGTTTGTTTGTTATGAATTTCACGCAAAGCTACATGAGGGCTATCTGCGCTAGCCGTCCCTAATTTAACAGTGTAAGACTAGAGAGAAGGCAGTTAGTCATCACCACCCACTGCCAACCCTTGGGCTACTCTTTTACCAATGAATAGTGGGATTGACTGTTACATTGCCCCCCCATG